CACATTAAAAAGTTTTAAAAAGTTATAAAAAAGAGGAAAAGATAAGCTTGATTTCCTATCCAATCAGAATGTTGTTTATAAGATCTCCTGTGATGATTGTGAGGCGAGTTATGTTGGTCAGACAAAAACAAAATTGAATACGAGACTACACGAACATATCTCTGACATTAGAAAGAATACGAGCATTCATAGCAAGAAATATCAATATTTGATCATAATTTCAAATGGAACGATGTGAAAATTCTAGACTGCGAATCTTTTTATAATAAGAGATTGGTGTCTGAAATGATTCATATCAAAAGACAGAAACAAGGTCTTAATAGACAAAATGAAACCTACTCACAGATCATTCAATCTCTTTCTCCTTCTTAACTGCATTCTTTTCCTATTCATTTCTTCTCTCCTCACTTTCTCTTCCCTCTACTTTATTTTCTCCTTCTTATGTTCCTCTTCCTTTTTAGTTTACCATTTCAACCTTCCTGTCTTTATATGTGTACTTTACTTTATCTCTTAGCTTCTTAGAGAGATGATCACTTTCAATTCTCATCGCATTGTCTAATCAATAACATATCATTTTGACACGCATAATAAGGTATTTATTCTCAACATTTCCTTGTTCTGACATCTGACAAAGATTTTCAACTCACACAATACAAGTTTCATACAAGTAACAGTATAGTTTGTAATAGCATCGAACATGTCGAATTTTGTGCCTGGAAACTACGATTTGCGGACAGCATTGGTTTTCTGTTACCATTTGAAGAAAACTTGCAGAATCGCATCGAATGCTTGTCGAAGCTTACGATGAGTATGCTCTTGGTAAATCACAGTGCTTTGAGTGGTTTAAAAAATTCAAAAGTGGCGATTTTGACATGAGAAATGAAGAACGTGGAAAACCACCGAAAAAGTTTGAAGACAGAGAATTGCAAGCATTGTTGGATGAGGATGACGCTCAAACTCAACAACAACTCGCGGATCAATTGAATGTGACACTAGAAGCCGTCTCTATACGTTTGAAATCCATGGGAAAAATCCAGAAGATGGGAAAATGGGTTCCACATGAACTGAATGAAAGACAGCAAGAAAACTGAAAAACCACATGCGAAATGCTGCTCGCCAGGTACAAAAGAAAGTTTCTCCATCAAATTGTGACTGGCGATGAAAAGTGGATATATTTTGAGAATCCTAAGCGTAAAATTCACGGGTAACCATTCCAGGCGAACCATCGACATCGACTGCAAGGCCAAATCGCTATGGACGGAAGACAATGCTCTATGTTTGGTGGGATCAGAAAGATGTGATCTATTATGAGTTGCTAAAACCTGGCGAAACCGTTAATACTGAACGCTACCGACAACAAATGATTAATTTGAATCAAGCTTTGCGTGAAAAACGACCGGAATATTAAAAAAGGCAACACAAAGTGATTTTGCTTCATGATAATGCACCATCACACACAGCAAAACTGATCAAGGAAACGATTGAGGCGTTTGGTTGGGAAATACTTTCGCATGCGGCTTACTCACCAGACTTGGCTCCGTCCGATTACTACTTATTTGCATCGATGGGACACGCACTTGATCAGTAGCGCTTCACTTCTTACGAAGATGTACGAAAATGGCTAGATGACTGGTTTGGCTCAAAAAAGCAACAATTTTTTTGGTATGGCATCCACAAATTGTCAGACAGGGAAAATGTATAGCTAGCGATGGGCAATACTTCGAATAAAATATTTTTTATCATTTCCATGCAATAAACGTGTATTTTTTATTTAAAAATTCCGGTTTCATATTTACATACTTGGTAATGAATGACGGCACTTTCTCTATCGACATTAATAACTTATGTACATGTCTTATAATATCGAAAATAATTTTTGCCTCTTTCTTTTAATTTTAATTTTATTACTTGCGACTTGTTTTGTACCTTTCTTTTTATTGTTTGCGACTCAATTTATACTTTTCTTATTATTTTTATTTTTATTCCTGTCGTGATTTATTATTACCTTTTGTACTTGCTAACAAAAACATGTTCGTCCTTATTCTACATACACAATCCGGAGGAACACATTGTTGTCAACTACAACTTTCATATAATTTTCAATGTATTTTGGAGCGAGATTTATAGATTTATGATATTGTGTGCGAGCGAATTTTTAATTAATTTTTATATATTTTATCTATGTAACGTTTCCGTTGTTTTTGCGTCATATTGAAAATGATCCAACAGGGATCGAAACGTTTGTGTTGTTTACTTGCTGACGGTCAAATTAAATTTCATGTTTTTAAATTCATGATATGTTTTATTTTATTTTTTAACTATTTAATACAAATTTGTTAATTTATAATGATTGTTTTAGGCTCATAGCCCTTTGTCTTTTTATTTAGTTTTATAAAAGTTTTAAAAAAAGTTTTATAAAAAAAAATTTGTTTTTAAAGTAGATATTTTAAAGCAAAGAATTTTTGTTTAATAATAGAAAGGAAATGTTATTTCATGAACTTAACAATATATGTCAAGGTCATTAAAATCGGCGAATTGTCAGTGTCACGCAGTTTTACCGTCTAACTTATTTAGCGATACAATGCTTTTTCGTAATCACTAATGGAAGCGAAACCAAAATTTATCCTGTATATAATATTATTTTCAGGTGACAAATAACGGTAAAATTGCAGAAAAATGAAGCAACCTCCAATGATCTTGACTTTGACATATGATGTCATGACCTTGAGTAACCTCCAAGTTTTAGCCGCCATTCGTTATTCGTTAAAAAGTTATTAATAAAAAAATTCATCAATAAAACCTAATTTTCCGACGTAACTGTGCTGCGATGAAACAAATTCCCTGCTTTAACAACACAAAATACTTTCTTATATAATTTCTTATATAATTTTTATGTTTTTAAAGTAAAAAATTTGTGTTTTTAAAACAAAGAATTTATCTTTCAAATTCTCTGCTCTAAAAACGCAAAAATTATATAAGAAATTATATAAGAAAATATTTTGTGTTGTTAAAGCAGGGAATTTATTTCATCGGAGTACAATTGTGTCCAAAAGTTAGATTTTATTGATAAACTTTTTCGTTAATAACTTTTTAACGAATAACCGGCGACGACTAAAACCTGTTGAAGGTCACTGAAGATCATGATCTTCACAACATATGTCAAAGTCGAAGTCATCGGGGGGATTGCTCTCATTTTATGCTTTTACCATAATGATAAAAATAATGATTAAAACTTCTTCAAGGTCACTCACAGTCATGACCTTGACAACATGTGTCAAAATCATGATCATCGGAGGTTGCTTCCCTTTTCTGCAATTTTACCTTAAAAACTTCTGCAAGCTTTACATTGCACGTTATAGAATAATACGAAAAAAAACAAATCTTTCATCTATCGGTTTAAAAATTACGATTTATTCGTGACGTATTTTTACAAAGAACAATTTAACGTGAAGAACAATTTTCGCTAACTCATAGTGTTTTTTACCATTTTTATCACTAAATCAATTATTATAATAATTTCTATATATATATACGTATATGTATCTACACACGCAATTTAGAAATTATTATAATAATTATATGTATATATATATGTTGTTTCAAAAAGGTCAGGATACTTGAATATCTCGAAAAAAAATGTAAGTTTTATAGAAAAATGTTTCAAAAGTAGGATTCAAAAAGATCTATTTATTGATCTTATCAGTTTGATCTTGGGTGGCGTCGCAGAAAGAAATTTATGTTTTTTTCGCATTTTTGAAAAAAAAGAACACTATTTTTTAAACAAAAACTCCATTTTTATTTTTTTATTTTAAAGGGATCTTTATGTTTGAGGAATCAAAAAATTCTGTTTTCAATTGCTTTTTTTGAAAGCTTATAATCTTAAGAATATCTCACAAAAATGTTTTTTGGGAGAAACGAAAATTGTCCGAGATGTGGTGTTTCGGGCCATTTAACCGATTCAAGTAGTGCGCGCCAATCAATTACCATAATTGGCGCTCGCTATTATATTGAATCTTTCGAGACCATTCTAGAACGTTTCTACCATAATAATGAATCGTTAAACTCATTGATATGAGTCGTTGAATCCATTGATAGGACACGTTTGCTCCTAAACACATTTACTCCGGCAATAGTAGAAGTCGCAATTTTTTGGCAATTTATATCTTTTATGACAGTTACATGAATATTTTTAAAATTATGAAAATGATAATCATAATTATTAGCAGTTTAGTTTATGATTTGGCTCTTTCGCGAGACAAAGTCTGTCTCAAACGCCCGGAATCGTGCGTCTATAAGCTCAAAGGATACAAGGATTGCTATTCGAGAGGAGAGAGCAACACAAAATTTTTATGAAGTAGAGGAAGGTGTTTTGTATGGTCCTCGAATAGACTAATGATAAGTTCAAAAATTTTGGCATATTATACCAAAAAAGTTTCATAAAACTTTAAACGCTTTTTTCTCGAAACCGTGTTTTCGAATATGATGATCACGATTCCAAAAAAAATATTAGTTCGACTGACTTCAGCTTTTACTGTTATATTCAGAGAACATGTCATTATCATCTGACTATAATAAATAGTCTATGTTAATTTTTTTTCTATTTTAGAAGGTCAATTAAAAGGAAAAAAATGAGCAAAATTCGATTTATTTCTTCAAACTGTTACCATTTTGAAAATATGCATACGGTATTAATTATCCTACTTCGGACGAGAGTTACAAATTTACTCATTAAGAAAAAGTTTCAGTTTTTGCTTTCAGACTAACGATTTGTACCTTGATCATCGTTTGATCGTGTTCGCGGTGTAAGCCTAATTTTAACGCTATTTTATTACTAATTTTGATATTTAAATTAGAAATACCCTATATATGCACGTGTGTGTGTGTGTATGTGTGTGTGTGTGTGTGTGTGTGTGTGTGTGTGTGTGTGTGTGTGTGTGTGTGTGTGTGTGTGTGTGTGTGTGTGTGTGAGAGTGTGTGTAATAACATAAATTGCAACTCACCTATTTATGTTCACATCAGTAGACTCCAAAATAGTCCTCGCTTTATCCAAGTGACCATGTTCCACAGCCGCAAATAGAGCTAAAAATAAAATGATAACATGTTAAGATTATTTCTAATTTAATATAAATTTTGATGTGACAAGAATAAGTTTGGCAAAAACAAAGAGACGTTTGAGAAATTAAAATAAAGAATCGATAAAAATAAAATACCATGCAGGTGTATGTTGAGGGATTGGGCCGAGAGAGGATTGATATGTATTGACGATTGATTATTTAGTTGGTGGGGCTGTTGTTTCTTCTTGCCAAAACCTTCTAGGAACTCCATCCCTTGCAACGAGTGGAACTCTGCGCGCATGAAAAAATAAGGCAAAATAAATAAATGATAATTAAATAAGTGAACCATTGCAAAGTCGGATAAATAAGCGATAAATACATAATATAAAATAAGAGAAATTGGAAGGAATCGTAAAAAGCTTAATGTATATCTTAAGGAAAATAAATCCTTGTTTTAAGTATTTAAAATTTATTAAAGTTTCAAGTTTTTACTTTTATAACAACAAAAACACAACCCATCAATCGTTATAACAACAGCTAACTATATTTTATGCTTTAGTCGGCGAAATATTTTAAGTAATTGTAGAACAAGAAATAAAGTCTTAAGTCTTGCCAAAAAAACTGCAACTTAGAAAATAAAAGGAGAAGAGAGAGAGAGAGAGAGAGAGAGAGAGAGAGAGATCTTGATTATTTCTTCCTTGAATTATTTTGTTCATCATATTACACAGTCAGCTTATATGTTTTACTTAAGCTACTTTCACAACTAGAAATTTTCCCACATCAGTGACGTCCTACAATGCTTTACCGTTTTATTTCATGTTTAACATACTTTCTTTTTATATCTTTCCGTGATAATTATTGATTTGCTTCCTCATGAAAATATGCTAGTTAAAGTTAAATGCAACATTAAATTATTACATCAGAGATGTAATGTAGATTCCCTTTCTTCATCAATATCGTAAAGAAAATAACTAAACCGACAATTTGCCGTGAAAATTTGAACTGACTTCCTAAAAAGTGATTAGTTACACCTGGCACATAATTAATCGCTGATTAATTAGAAATTATTAATTCAGCATACTTGATCCTGATGATGTCGACATGAAAACTCGTTCCTGACTGCTTTGCTCGTAATTCTTCATATCTTTCATGTCTTTTTTCCTACCGATCGCCATTTTATTTCGAAAACTATTACCACGTCTGTTTGTCCAAAAGTTTGTGATATTGTCTACCGTGTTGACTTTACAGGACTTTGAAGGATATATCTTAGCGTCGTCGTAAATTTTCTGATTCTGTAGGCAGATTGTTGCGTTTTTTCTTTCCGTCTCGTGTATCTTGCAATAAAATTTAATCCTTAGGCGATCAAACTCACTCAAGAATTCGGTTGTCCTTCGATTTCCATTTATCGCATGCGAGTTGTCGTTCCTCACATTCCAAGTACTTCTCAAAGGCTCGGTCTCGCATCTATAACAAAATATATTTTGCGATGGTTTTTCGAAATATTCTTCGTCCTCATTCTTGTCTTGCTCATTATTCGTTTTACACAAGGGCCGATTAATTGCGGTCTTGTGGGAATCCACAACGACGGTCAAAATATTGCGTTTGGGTAATGTAGCGCGCTCATTTTTACTATCTTGTTTTTGCCTTTGTTCCATCTCGTTTCCTTCTTCGACTTCATAGAAGAAGTCCGAGACGGAGGAATCCAAAGAACTATTCAGCACGAATGTAGGATTCTCATAAAATACATGTTTATTGAGCACATTTGTGTCTGTTTCGCAGGACTCATGTTTGTCACCACAGTCTTTCTCTCGAGTAACTTCTTGCGAGCTCCCTATGCTATGTCTCCTGCGAAAAATGTGAATAAGCTTCGGTAATTTTACATCTTCGTTCTTTATCCAAGGTTTCTCTACGTTCTTGCGCCCCGTACTCATTGGTCTGTCAGTTAGAGATAGCTTACTCTTTAGATCCTTTGTAATTTCTCGCGAATCGACATCGAGATTTGATACCGAGATCTTCCGAGGACTCGAAGATGCCTCATTATCGATTTTGTTCTTAATACAAGAATTTATATCTTCAGAATCTTTTCGTAAACTCGAGAGTTTCTCATCATCTTGAAATTCTTCAAGAACAGATAAGTTGCATTCCTTCTTAACGAAATTTTTTGAGACAGATGAGAGATCGAAGCCAGTGGTCAATCGCAGATTCGCATGATTGCGTATCTTTGACATCAGTTTCATAGATGCTCGAAAGGATCTCGACCTTTTCAAGGTCGATATTCTGCTGCCCGAGGAACGTCTCGAAAGTAGTTCCATTTTCGGGCTCGATGAAGCGGATTTGCAAAATTTCATTTGGGAATCGCTTAACAATTTTGCTTGATATATGTCCTATCGAGATATTTGACTTTTTCAGAGTTTCGATACGCCTGAATATGTATTCTCAATGGAAAGAGATCGCTCGTCTTATAAATTATTGATAATATTTATTATATATTGTTGCTACTTATGTATTATTGTTCTTCTTTGGTAGAATAAAACTTCGAAATTTCGAGTCTCCATAAATTCCTAAAACAATTCTTTGGCTGGATAAAGCTGCAAAAAAATTATTGATATTGTCATTTGTTTGATCCTATTATGTTTAACGATACATTTTTCTCTCGAATAGCACGGCGAGGGGGAACTGTATATATTACAATATATTATATAACGTAGGCTTCAGAGATTATTCCAAAGTTTCTAAAATATTGACTATCTTAATGCGATCTGCGAGTTAATTCATTACATGTCAAGTTTTTGCTTTGACAGAATACATCACTAACTTAACTCTTTTATACAACGAAACTGATAAATATTTATAAGAAGCGTTAGAATAAGTGGAAGAGCGATTAACAATTAAAAGAGATTAGCACAAAATTGTTGTCATGAAATAACAACGTAGTTGCTATGTGATTACCGTCTCCAAATGATTTTATTGTTTACGTACAATTGCATCGCTTGATTCTGCCGGGCGACAATTGGCCATTATGAAGAAGTGGACGGAATATGACCTCTTCCTTCTCGGACAATTTACCAGACCAATCAAATTTATTGCTGTCGTCCGTTATTCGTTAAGATCTCGATAACAGTAGAGTATAGGTGCTTAAAGATTACAATGACAAAATCGCTAGTGATCTAACCAATATCGAACATGTAATAAAGCAATTGTTTCCAACAACGTACGAGAAAGAAAAGTTAATTGAATTTCAACGCCTTGTATTTTAAATAATTATTATTTGAAAAGAATATTGATGCTAGTGGTACCAATATCCATATCGGAAAAAAAGAAATGATCTCATATTAGAGATTCCAATAAAGAATCATTCATATCGTGATGTATTGCGTTTGTATTGAATGAACGTAATAATTTTCGAGCATTTTATTTCAAGATTTTTGTATGCCGCTCGTCGACGCATCAAGCTTGGCTTTCTCCGACTGTATTTTATTCATCAGAGTGATGATCGACTATTAAAAAATATTGTTTAATAGGTCGTGCCAGTCTGTTTCTCGCAATAGCGTGAACGTTCTAGCTTACTTGAATTAATAAATAGTAATAAGGCTCTGTAAGTATAAAACAATGTAATACAAAAGAAAGGCAAAGATCCAATAATATAGCAAAGAACTTTAATTGAAATTAAAATTAAAAATTCATATAACAATTACAATTAACAAAAACAAACGTTTCGACTCCAATCGAGTCATTTTCAATGTTGTTGTAATATAAATTATGTAATTTAAACATCGTTCTAAACCAAAAATATATACACGATATTATACAATACTATTATAATTTTTAATCCCGTATTCTTCATTTCGTGTAGTACGCTGCGAGTCATTTTTATCAAAAATCAAAGTAGTCATAAAACAATATTCTGGAAAAGTGACCATGAACAAAAAAATTAATATTTAATACATACAAATTAGTGATATAATAATGTACCTTGTCAATAATATCAGTAAATGTATTGAGAGTCTATTAATAAAAAGAAAGAAAAAAACGCAGATAGATAGTAGTCTATATCGTGGTACAATATATTGGTTTTTTTATTTTAAGCAAATTTGCAAAAGTAACGAACATCTAACTTTCACGATGTCAGATAATGAAATATCGAGATGAAAAACATTTATCGAGAACGGAAAAATGATAAAATAGAGGGGAAAAGGAAAAAAGATATTAGGAGGGAGAAAGAGAACGTATAATGTTAGAATACAATTCAAGCAACGACTCTGTGTCATTTTGTCTGTTTATTTCATATTTCTGTTTTTTAATATGGACCATTTCAGATATTAACCTTTTATTGTATGAAGGTTTTCTATCTAATATGTCCACTTTATTCCATTTAAAGTTGTGATTCTCCTCAATACGTTGGAGATCACTGATGGAGATTTTAAACTTATATTAATATCTGAAACATGTTCATGCAATCTAGTCTTTAATTGTCTTTTTGTCTGGCCAACATAACTAACATCACAATCCTCACAAGATATTCTGTAAACTACATTTTGATTATGAAAGTATCCTAACTCATCCTTTCCTCTTTATGTAATTTTTTAATGTGTTAGGAATAGTAAAAGCCAATTTACAATTAAACATATTAACGATAGGTGTGAATCTTTCAGATATGGTATTGATATGGAATAGTAAAAAATCTTTCTGTGTTATCCTTGTTATTATTTAAACTATTAATATTGTTAATATGATATTTAATTCTATTATGAATAGTCGAGAAAATAAAATGTAAAGGATATCCATTCTGTAAAAAAAATATTAATAGCATCAATCAAATTGTTTTGTTGTAACTTCGGTTGATATAAACGAAAAATCTTATCCACAAATTATTGATTATTATATATCCATAAATTACACCTTTTTTTATGACAAAGTGGATGGTGTGAATAGAAAATAAGGAATCTACCGAAAAAGATTGCTTTACATCGAAAATAATTTCGTTCTTCAATAATTAACCTGATATTCAAAAAAAATTATTTTTCCGTCAATGCCTCCATAGTGAACTGCAGTCTAGTGTGCAACGAATTAAAGATATCTAAAATATCACCAATACTCTCAGACGGAGCAGCTAAATAATATCATCAATGTATCGATAATAAAATAACAACCGGACGGACAGCATTTTGATAGCAATTTTTTTCAAAATGCTGCATAACCATTTGCAACGACAGGTGACAAGGGTTACTTGAATTACTTGAAGGAAGAAAAAAGAGACCGTTTTGGTATCCACATTAAAATTTATTAGAAATTAACGAAAAAATTATTTATTGACTAAATGTTAATAGCATAATTACAGTATGGAAAAGCATAATTATAGTCAAGAAAATCGTGACAGTTTGAATCTGGAAAAGCAGATTTTTTTAGTTCTCCTAGCTAAATTTAGTTAAATTTTCATAAAACTGTCTATTTTAATAAAACTGTCTTTTCCATATACGATTATCACCGAGTTATCAACATTATTTAAACCTTATAATTTTCCTCAATTTCTATTTTAAATAATTCTTTTCTTAAATAATTTCCTCGATTCTATTTTATATAATATTTATTTTCAATTTTTGCTTTGATCGAAATATAACCTATAAATCTCTCAATTTTCTTTAATTCTATGACTTTACTTATTACTCTACGTATTTATGTAATTTTATCTGTTATCCTTTATTAATTTTTTGAGGGAAAATGTTCAAAGTGCTTAAAATACAAAAGTAATCCTATTAAGGATATTTCAGAATATTGATTTAGACAAAAAATTTATATATAATAAGGGTTTTTAAAATCATGAGATGTAAATTTGATATTAGAACTTTTAAATTAAAATTCACTAATTTAATATGACACAACAATTGTAATGAAATAAATTAAACTTATTTCGTGTATTTTTGTTTGATAATATTTTCGAGATTGCTAAATATAAATTTGATGTTAACGTGATAAATTTTAAGCTGGTGAGTCTATTATAGAGGAAAATTCTTAATATATCCATGATATAGTTTATACAATGTCTCAGAATTTAACGGATAAATTGCAAGAGTATATTCTGAAAGAACACAAATAAAGAAAATTATTACGAAGTTTAATTTAAGAAATGCTTTATTGCAAAGTTATGAATAAATATTGTTTACAATGAAGCATGAAAAATAGGAAAGAGTTCATTTTTCAATTAAATAACAGGCAAATGAGAGTAAAATGTGCGGTTGTAGGTATGAGAGTATAAGAATAAAATGTGTACACTCTATAATAATACATATATTTAAATAATTATTACATATATGACATAAACTTCCACAAACAAACGTTTCGGTTAATTTTTAGCAATTTCAGCAATTGATATATCAAATTAGAAAGACTTTTATTTGTACATAGATCAATTTTCTGAACGCAGTAGATGATTTTACAGTTCAAGTTGGAATGCAATAAAAAATTGTTACTTTAAATACAACACCGATAAAAATTTTTTTCAAGAAATTAATATGTCAGAAATCAATATTATTGTCATTTTAAATGACTTCGTCATGCAAGATTCAAACTGTAAGTGTTAAGAGACAACGAAACATGTGAATAAAATGTATAGTGTCAAAAAGATAAATAAAACAGTCGGTAACTTCTGATCCATCACTCAAGGAAAATGTTCATATACATTCGTACAACTTTTTCTTCATCTAAAATTTGTACGTCATCCCAATCAAAATCATGATTAAACTCTTGATTGACGTACATTTTAGATGAAAAAATTCTCAATAGATGACTTATCTCAGAAGCAATTCACATAAAAAAAACAAAAAAATGGCTTAAATATAAAGTAATAAACATACAAAGTGATACCGATTTATTAGACCGCTTTATAATCTTGTTTGTATATAGATGCTACTTCCATATTTCGGAATATTAACTTGTTATAAACAATTCTTTGTCTTGATTTTTCATTCGCAATTTTAAGCTCAGCGCATACTGATCAATTGTACAGAATATTGTTAATCTGTTCTCAAGTAAATAAAAAAAACATTATTTTATAACTAATTATTTTTATGAATGTTGAGCCAAAGTTTTTATTCTACTTAATTTTATTATAGTGACTTCCTTATCAGTTTGAGTATCCGTCAGACGAAGATAATAGTCTTTACAGCTTAACGATGTTTTTCACTTCTGATAATTTTTTTACTATTGACAACCTTATTTTATTTTATTGGAATGCTTTCATAATTGGTCTATATTATGTTCACACTTGAAGAGGACACAATTACGATGTCGAAACGTTTACCTTATTTTTTTAATGTAATAATTGTTTTAAAAAAAATGTATTTCTGACGCCGACATAGACACATGTCTAACTACTATCTTAGAATTATATGAATTTCGTTCAAGATTTTGTAATAGAATGGAGGTGCAATTTTTTAGAAACTGTACTTATCAATCATGACATTGATTAAGAAGAGCTGTGTTCACAATTCAATGAGAAACTACTCTAAGTTTTTTTGGAAATGCATCTGCATTTATTCATTTATTGATAATAATTGAACTCGAAATTTTTATGAATTATCCTGAGGATGATTGTAAAGTCGAATTGATCAATTATTGTATGTAATATGAATAAATAAAATAAGAAAAGGAAAATTTGTTGTATAACGGACACAAATAACAACCGAATTATAGCTCTAATTTGCCATGTTTTTATTGTAATATTTTCTCAAAAAGCTTCTTGCGTTGGCTTGCATTGGATATATATATATATAATTTATTATTATTGTTAGTCTTTAGTTTTTAGATTTTTAAATTTTTCTGAAATACCCCGTAAGTATGGTATGATAAGCCATAAATATTTAGTTAATTCTCAGGTACCTGAACTTCTTTTTGTGATTATTTGATAATTGTGAACTATAAGGGACCCAGCTCCGATAATCTTGATCTTCACATATGTTCTCAAGATTATGACCATAAATAACCTCCAACAAATTTTAGTCGGTGCTCGTTATTCGCTGAAAAGTTATTAATAAAAAACTCTATAAAATGAATGAAAAATGAAAACAAAACTAATATTACATCAACATATAACTACAGAGGTTTACATCCACTTCCTTCCTTGTCAAAGCATATTCCATCCCATCTCCCCCTTGCCTAGGAGCGCAGAACTTTCCACGCAAAGTGAGTTTCACTCCATCTCCTTCCAGCCTAGGGATACGCAATCTTAGAACATAGTATTCTAAATGCGAATGGAGCTTGCTTCGCGTTGAAAGTCGAACGTTTTGTCAGGAGGGGAAAGAGATGGGATAGATCTCGCTTCGCATGGAAAGTAGGACGCTTTTAGACAGGAAGTGAGGGTAGTAGTACTTCTTAATATTGGATATAATAAAAAAATGTTATTTCTTAAACTTTTTGTTGTTAATAATTTTTTAACGGATAATGAGCGCACAATTTGTTTGCACAAATTTAATTTTCATTAAGCCGACGAATAAAACTTGAATTTTGAAAAGTCATTCAATGTGTTCAAAGAATCGATCTGCGACCAAAGTCTTTCTTATTTAGTATGTCAATCGCTATAGATGGCTAAAAATTAGCCGAAATGTTTGAAATGGAAGTTTACGTTTTATATATATAATAATTATCTAAATATATTGTTGCAAGCGTTGTGCTGCGCAAAAATCTGTTACCGCCTATTAAAAGTGAAGCGACGATTCTTTCCTTAACAATAGAGTTATTGTTGTTCCGTTGTAAAAGTTGACGTTAAATAACGTAACGTTCTAACCTGAGTTGATGCAGTTTCTTCGTCATAACCCGCAACGTAGCCGTCAACGATTTTGAAGTATCGACGCACCATCTTTTCCTCGCTGGAATCGCCGACGTTCGCGTAGACGCAGCTTGTCATGTCGAGAATATGAATTCTTTCCTTTGACAGACGCTAGTTGGACGAGATGTTGCATTCCGGTTACGTATAGCGCACTTGCGATAATGAAGACGTAAACGGAACCCGCATAATAAAACTTTTTTTCGTAAAAAGTAGAACGACACGTTTATTTAACATGTCAAACTTTGACAACGAGAACAGAACAACAATTTCATTGCTAAGGAAAGGATCGCTTCACTTTTGACTGTATGGTGGAATCATTTATTAGTTATTACTATTAGTTATTATTAGTTATTATTTATTAGTGTCTAATTCCACCATGCTTTTGATAAGCAGCAACTGATTTGTGCATAGCACACTATTATAGAATACACCTACAACCGCGTAGTGTTCTTTACTCTCATTATATCCCGTTAATTAATTAATTTTATTGAACAGCGAGTATCCATTATATTAGTAATTATCTTATTTTGAATTCATTTTTCCTATTTCATTGTGTAGAATACTAACAGAATGATTTAGTAATGTTGTAATTTTGAATGTGTCGCACAAGCTCGATACAATAATGCGGAACTTGTTACAAAAAAATTTCTAGAGGACTTTATTGTATCTTAATAATCGAATTACTAAGTCATTGCATTAAATCTACATGCAAAGTCACTTCTACACTGTAAAAAAATCTTACTTTTTACAATTCCCTATAAATAAAAATTAAGAGGCGCGATGAAAAAACCATTATTTCCTATATTCCGTTTCAATATTTCTTTATAACTTTGTAATAAATCATTTCCAGACTTCATATACAATAACATTTTTGTCTTATTTCCACTTATAGAATATGTTCCCATGCAGTTTGTCTGTTAAATCCTGAGACACTGTGTAGATTGTAAATAAAAATTGTTTGTATCTTTTTGTCGGTGCTGATTACAAATTCAGTGTTAGAATTGCAAATCTTTAAAAGGTGCCAATAAAAAATTTACAAGATTTAATAAAATATATTATTAATTTAAAAATTTTTAAAATTTGTAATCTACATCATAAAAGATTAATTTATTTTATATGAAAATTCTAATTCTCGGTTGTGTTTAAAATAAGTTTTTATAATATAAATCTCTACTATATTGAATTTTTTAAAATAAATTTAATTTTTATTTCAAATCTACATAATTGTATACAGAGTATACAGATATTAAAAGAATTCATAAAACATTTGAAAATTTTGACTCTCAAAGCCAGTGTTTTGAATTTGCTTTAATAAATTCAAAAATTGTGAAGAAATTCTATCAAAATTTTCGAATTTCGAAAAATCCCTTAAAAAATTATATTTTGATAATATTTATGAAAGAAAACAATAATTAATTTCATAATGCTTATAGAAGTTATCTAGAGAGAACGTTTAGTTTTACGCATAATACCTATATTCTAATGTTTAAATTATAGTAATAAGCTTGTGTGGTGTGTACACGCATGTATGTGAACATAAATATGTAAAAAAGTTGTGCAATAAAGACGTTATTGTTATTATCATTATTACTATTATATTTATTTTTATTATTATTATTGTAATTATATTTTATCCATTTTCAAGAAAAATTTCCCTTGCTCCTCGTCGTGCTTTCCGAAAAAAAAGTTGTAGCGCGACACTTATACGTTTTAACACGTGAGCTACCTGACTATTACAAAATTCCATGCGGCCGAACTCGTTTTTAAGTACGACATCGAGAGTCACATCTCCACATTTATAGACGAGAATTATATCGTCTCTCGGATGCCATTTGGCTCCATAGAATCCTTATGACTTTTGTCCAATCATTGTCACGATATGTTGCTTTCACACAAATATTCATGACTTGGATATTATATATATTGATACATAATATGTCCTGTAAAATTTTTTGATCACTACTAATCACTAATGAAAATTTTTCGTCACTATGAATCCTTTACTGTTGATCATCTAGAAATTTTTGAATGTCATATTATTGATTCATTATTTTAAAATGTTCTCACTATTAATCTACACTTGATATTTCTATTCCTCAATATTATCGTGAAAAACAGGCTACTTCGGAGAATAAGTAACTCAATTTTTTTCCATTCACACATTCTTAATCATCCGATACAAGATTTCGCGCACAGGCCTGAAATCGATTTTTGGAGATTGGTTCACGGTTTTAAAACACGTCATGTGCGCGCGCACTTTTTCCAACCGTTGCTGCTGTGCACGTTGCTGTGCTTCAAATGCTTTGGAATGATATCTGCCGGTAGTCTCAAACAGTCTCGAAGGAACCGATTTCCACAGTGTGACGGACCAGTCCCGAGTACGACTTAATGTATAACACTTTCATGAACACGGTTTCTCTCAACAAAAACTTTTTTATCTGCGAGCTTGACTTGTAAAATTCATCACAACACACTACAATCTCGCACTGCATTGCTTGCTTCTAGTATCGCACGAGCTACAAACGTTAGTGATGTGGCATTACTGGCGGATACACATGCCAATGCGACCCCCCGATCCTTTCCATGGTGAACAAACAGCTGTCGTGTCCCCCTCCTTCAGCAACCAGTGGTCACATTGCGTAGCTCCGAAGAGAGATTGCCTAGTCTTTCGGCACTGACGATTGTCTCGCACGAGCTAACTTGTCTGTCTTGTCGGATTAACAAAGCCACAGACTAGTTTACCATAGAAACGGACAAAATGAATGATTTTCTTTTAACATTGTTAAAGAGAAAATAAAATATATGTAATATTCTGATAGTTGCCTATTTAGTTCAATTATTAAATCTTAATTAGATTATGAAACTATTATTTTAAACAGTTATTAAACCGGAATAAACGGCTGTTAATATTAGTTAAGTGTTGTTAATAATTTTGTCATAGTTTAATTGCGTTAAAGTATTAAAGTGTAATTATAGTTGCACTTTACAATGCAAATCATGCACACGTGTATTCCTTTTCTGCGTTTGAACCTGCGTAATTAAATTGCCGCTTAAACAGAGCCTCTACTGTAAATTGAAAAAACTGATGTAAAATTCTTTATTGAGTTATATATTTAGATCCAAGAAAGTCTAAAGGCAAGAGTCAATCATATTAAGAATCTTACAACGGTTGTAAAATTGCCTTTTCTGTTGAACGTAGCCATTGTTAAATTATTTCGCTTACTTTGTTTCGATAAATGTTTGAGGAAAACAGTTGTTGCAAAATTAATAGGAAATGTGATATTAATTAGTGATTAATAGTGCTAATTCTTTAAATGATTTGTAAAATTGATGTGTTAAAGATTTTTAAAGAAACGTGTCGTGAAGAAATATTAAAATGGCAAACTAAAAACAAAATGTTTATTTATTATTAAAGATATTACATATACAAGTAAAAATTTGGGTGTTAAAAGGTTCATATAAGTTTCTTTTATTATCTTATTAAACATCTAATTAAACATCTTATTAAACTTCTTTTTTAAAAGATTTTCAATTTTACATATACAAGAAAAATTTTGATATTTCAAAATTAATATGAATTTCTGTTATCAAAAATATATAATAAGCAACATATGTTTACTTCCATTCTAGATTGAGACTATTTATTCCTATTTTGGAAGTCTCCTTTTATCTCAACTTCATAAAGGAAAGTTATAGTAACTTAAAACTTTTCTTTCAATAATAATTTCATTGAAGATCTTCTTACTCTGACTCAAGTAATAATGTTTTTTAATTCTATTTCAAAAATTATTACATAAAAATAAAAGATATGCATTAATACTAGTCAAGTTATTAAAAAAGGTCAAGTAGTAACAGCTTTAGCTCTCCTTAAAAAATTATTATATCACAAAATTTACTTAACCCTTATAGTGGGTAAAATCCCCCCCCCCCCTCCCAAATAATAGTATCCAATTATACAAACTTATTTTCTTAAAAAATGATAAAAAAAGCTCTAAGAGTGTATGTACATTGGAAATATCATTTATACAATATATGTTAAAATATAAACATGATAAAACCTAAATAAAACATATTCGAATTGCATTGAGTGTTCTTACTTTAACTCTTTAACAAAAAAGTAATAGTAACTTTCATTTTTCTTTAAAAATATTTTCATTGAAGCTCTTTCTATTTTGATTCAAGTAATAATAATTATATGTATGTATATATGTGTGTATATATGTGTGAGTTCGTGCGTGCGTGCGTGCGTGCGTGCGTGCGTGCGTGCGTGCGTGCGTGCGTGTGTGTGCGTG